CCTCTAACGATATCGCTTGCCAAATTCCAACTGTTGGGAATGTGGGTCCCCAGTCCCAAGCAAAACTCGACTGAATCTTCCTGAAGCAACAAAAATATCTGACTTCCACATCATTATCTCCATACTTTGCCGCTATCAGTATTACCAATGCATCGTTGTGGTAATCATTACAACTTGATAATTCTAGTATCACTATTAACCCGATTAATATAGACATTATTGCTATGTTTGCCAATGTACCTCATAAAATTGATGTGACAATCACCACGATAAATTGATGGTGGACATATTGGTGGTATATCGTGATGGGACGTGACCTGAATGACGACAATCAATGAGCATGTTCTTGTGAAGAAATTTTTTTTTGTTTTCTTGCAAAAAACTGCAATTGTTGCCATGAAATTTGATGTATTCACATTGAAATTTGATATATTTTGAAGTCGTTCGCTCAGAACACTTCATACAAAAAACACCTCGAATGTTCAGTGAACCAATTATGCAAGCATGATGATTTGTGATGGAGAAATGGGCAAAATGAAATAATTAACATGGTACTCGTTGGACTGTCGTTTCGCATAATGAATTGGTGATTTGAAATGAATACGAATACTATTACGTCCAACTCTCCAACTTTCTAGTGGCACGAGGAAGGTATGAAACTGGTTGTTTGAACGTAAGATCTTCCACTCATTCAGATACACACTGGCCACAGTGTCGAGTCCTTGTGCGTTCAACAAAACACTTCTGAACTGAAATACATATTGCAAACGATTTATTAGTAACCAAGCTATATTGTTGTTCTGCCAACTACATCCACTATTCCAAATATACCGTATTATCTATGAGATAATGAGTTCAGACTTCAGATTTTGACCAGCAAGGTCATAATGTATTCGTATTGAGAATCAACTGAAAATGAATGAAGTGTTGGAAAAATATGATGCAAATTACACAGTGAATATTCAAGACTTTAATCAAGATTGTGTACAAGTTCACAATCCAGATTATATGTGATTGAGGTTGCACTATTGCGATAGATCACATTTCGAAGGTTGCACCAAAACCGATGTGTAATATGTCCCAACAACGACATTCTCATACTCAAATCATCAACGTCCTCAAGTGTCTTTAATATTGTGGTGGTATTTTTCATTTAACTAGCTAGTAGTTTGGACTAATAAACATAAGCAAATTTTGTTATGGGTATCATTGAGCGTCGTTATTCATTCATATGTGAATAATCTCAGAAATGCGCTGAAATTCATCGTAGCAATGCGTTCATCATCTTCATAATCATGAGAATATGAATGAACACGAAACAAATTGTCTATTCACAATCAGAATTAACCATTTTCCATCGTTCAGGCAAATAGAATTCGCATTCATAAATCCAATCCAAACGCGCTATCCATCGCAGTTTCTCGTCGTTATTCGCGTTCAGCGGATTGCCAATGAAGTTGTTGTTGAATAGATCCGTGTAGATATCACCCGGAACGGTTGCGCGGCCTTTTATTGAAGCGTTCTCATTACGGAACGTCCACGCAAGTGAATTCAGATCGAAATGCTCATTCGATAAGCGTGAATGGTGTTCTATTTTACTGACTGAAATGCTGCTAGCAGCAAATACTGATGACGACTCAATGAGGAATAATGCTGATGCAGTAGCTATGCAAAGTCCTGTGAATGTTTTCATCTGTAAATTATCGAATGTTTTAAAATTCATTCATTTAATCAGAATTCTTCACCATCCAGAAAATACGCCTCTACGAGAAAACTGAACACCATTCAATAATCGTAGGTGAGATCAACGAGCACAATCAACACAATAATTATTGCTGGATATCATATTTTGAAAAGTTAGCTGAATGAGATTGCGCGTTTTTAATAAAGCGACAGAATAATTCCTTATTGTCAGGAAATAACATTAAATAGACCGTAATAACAGAGGAAATGAAATTCATCGCAGCATTGCGTTCATCATCTTCATAACGAGAGTTATTGGCCAACGTATCACTTCAGTGAGTTATCTCTGATAAGAATGATTACTAGGAACATTTGTATGGTGAATGTATGCTGATAAGGATACTGCTATTATTATTTCAGCTGTTGATGGTATCGTTGCAACGATCATTTAAATATTGGTAGATACATAACGCAACTAACAGATACGAATCCAACATAAAATTAGTCATCTTCTTAGGATTGCTTCCGTATTATCGGATGGATGCAAATAATTTGATGATAACTTGAAATTTCGCGAGTAATTGGT